TTATAAGAATCGGTTAGGTTAACCCCTAATTAAGAAAGAGAAGAGGATCTCCACTTAAAAGGAAAGGTAGCACGTAACGTAGAAAGTGTGGTTGAAGAAATATTGAGGGTAGAGTATTTGGACTTATTAATGGAAATACCTGATAAGGACGTAAAATCATTAAGGAGACTCATTAAATTGGGAAGGGAGATTATGGGTTGGATAAAATAAAAAAGGGCATCAGTTTGTGGGAGCAACCATCGTAAGACAAGCCTGTTACATCTGCGTATGAAATAAAGAAGAGAGATCAATTCCGACGGTACAAATCATCACGACAAATACGTTCAAATGGGCTCAAGAGTTTGACATTTTTAGCTCGTCCTATCATTTTAGAGATGAAGGCTATAATTTGCAGTAGGATTGCACAGATGCCAAGTACAGTACTCGGAACAAGTACGAGTACATGTACCGATACTTTTGAGCTCCAAGAGAGAAAAATTCAACAATTAGGAGGCAGCTGTCATGTGTAAGGAGCACACAGAGCTCCTGGGATTTGTACATCTCTGTTTTTAATGTACGATTTTGTTTTTATAAATATAAATAAAGGGATGCACAGATACCAGTTTTACGAGTACTGGTACTTGCCGAGTACTTACAAGTACTGATACATTTTTGTATATTGTCATGCAACAGTTTTTCAAAACAATACAGACTAATGATTTCAGGACAGTGGTGGAGCGCCAGAACCAAGTCCCAGCTGCAACCGCTCCAACCCTGTTAGTTCTCATGAAAATGCCAAGTATCTGCACTGGTATGCGAAAAGTATCTGTGCATCCTTAATTTGCAGGTAATGCAAAAATTCGGCATTAAAAATTTGAAAATGTTCTTTAATTTGAAATTGAAAAAGGTTTTAAGACCTGCATCAGATTCAAATTTCCTGAAACGGGTCAGATCATGCATCACCCAAGCGTCAAAGGACCTAGGGGAGTCCATCGCTGGTAACAAGGAGGGATTAGTTAGAAACGACAACATGGGCATATTTGGTGAAATAAGTCTGGACATTTTTTTCTGGGAGTCCCATAGTCGAAGAGAATGGGCTGTGGACGAGAAAGAAGGTGGAGGTCTTTGTTTTGGAGAGAGCCAAAGAATACTATCAATATGAACAGGGCGGAAGGGTACGGCTTCAAGTTCAACTCACTGAGGGGGATCTTGAGTGGCATGATATTTAGCCAGTTGACCTATTTGGACTGAATAGTAGTATTTTGAAATATCAGGGACACCCAATCCCCCAAGTGTTTTGGGCAAGTAGAGTGTGCTTCTCGGCTTATGATGGGACCAGACAAATCCATTGACCTGCGATTGTAAGGACTTGAGTGCCACAGTTGGGAACGCTATAGGAAGGGTGCGGAAAAGATATAGAATTTTTGGCAAGAGCATCATTTTTACCAAAGCTATCCTACCAAGCCATGAAAGATTATATCTGGTCCACGTCAAAAGCAAGGTCTTGAGTTTAGTGAATATGTTAGGGTAGCTGGCATTATAAGAATCGGTTAGGTTAACCCCTAATTAAGAAAGAGAAGAGGATCTCCACTTAAAAGGAAAGGTAGCACGTAACGTAGAAAGTGTGGTTGAAGAAATATTGAGGGTAGAGTATTTGGACTTATTAATGGAAATACCTGATAAGGACGTAAAATCATTAAGGAGACTCATTAAATTGGGAAGGGAGATTATGGGTTGGATAAAATAAAAAAGGGCATCAGTTTGTGGGAGCAACCATCGTAAGACAAGCCTGTTACATCTGCGTTAAGTAGGGATGGTCTCGATGTTTGAGTCGAAGAACAGTTCGACTCGAACATTGGCAGTTTGTGTGTTCCGCGAACACAAACTATCAGTGCTGTTCGCCCGCC